TTACTCCAGCTGCTACTATTACTACTGCTACTACCATTACTCCAGCTGCTACTATTACTACTGCTACTACTATTACTACTGCTATTACCATTACTACTGCTATTACCATTACTACTGCTACTACCATTACTACTGCTACTACTATTACTACTGCTATTACCATTACTACTGCTATTACCATTACTACTGCTATTACCATTACTACTGCTATTACCATTACTACTGCTACTACTATTACTCCAGCTCTACTATTACTCCAGTTACTACTATTACTCCAGTTACTACTACTACTATTACTATTACTACTACTACTACTACTACTACTATTACTCCAGCTACTACTATTACTCCTGCTACTACTTTTACTCCTGCTACTACTTTTACTCCAGCTACTACTATTATTCTAGCTACTACTGTTATTCCAGCTGCTACTATTACTACTACCACTATTACTATTACTACTACTACTTTTATTCCAGAAACTACTATTACTCTTATTACTCCAGCTACTATTACTACTACTATTACTACTACTACTACTACTATTACTCCAGCTATTACTATTACTCCAGTTATTACTACTACTACAATTTCTATTACTACTACTGCTATTACTACCACTAATACTACTACTATTTCTACTACTATTACTATTATTACTACTACTTTTACTCCAGAAACTACTATTACTCTTATTACTCCAGCTACTATTACTACTATTACTACTACTATTACTATTACTACTACTACTACTACTCCCATTTCTCCAGTTATTACTACTACTACTATTTCTATTACTACTACTACTACTGCTATTACTACCACTAATACTACTACTACTAATACTACTACTATTACTACCACTAATACTACTACTATTAATAAAAATCATTTGAAACCCACATGCCTCTACTCAGAAGTTGCACACGAAACCGGAGTCATAGCATCATCTCATGACAGTCATGGACAATTAAAAATTTTAATTGCTGTAATACGATGATGTAATCTGAGTAGTTAAAAATGGTGTATGACAAAATATTAATATGATTATTGATGTTAGTATTTTAAGCTGTATAATGTTTTTTAAGTTCATTCATCCAACTTGTTCAGAGTATGACCTGACTGAGGTGGGATTAGATTAGATAGAACTTTATTGATCCCTTGGGAAGATTCCTTCAGGTAAATATAGATAATTTGTATATCTGTTTATCTACAGTATGTGTATTTATTAGTACCATATGTATACATGTATGTATTCATGTACATGCATGCGTACATGCAACATGCATGCATGTACATACAGTATTTGTTTTTCTGTACACAATGTGAACATGAAATGTGTTTGGCAGCAGCATCCAATACTTGTGTGCAACATTTCTCACACAACACTTGCAGCACTTGTTGCTTGGCAACTTTGTGGTGTTGACAAAACTGTTGAAAGTGGTTACCCTTTTCTGTTGCTCACAGACATTTCAAAACAAACTCCTCACATAAATCTGTTAGATTGACTTAGTTAAAGTTAAAGTTAAGTCATCGTTGTATGTTCCCATACAATGACAAATTTAGTTCTTTGCATTTAACCTATCACACCTGGGATATACCCAGGTGGAGCAGTGGGCAGCTATGCAAGTGCCTGTGGAGCAATTGGGGATTACCGGGTAGGTGTCTTGCTCCGACATATGGGAATGGCGGGGAGTCAGATCGCGACTTTCTGGTCCCAAATTGGCTGCCCTTCCTCTATCCCATCCTGACCCCTCTAATATATACACTGCCTGACCAAAACAAAACTCTCCACCTGAATTTATCTAAGCAAGTAAGTACGAGCCTCCTATTGGATAATTACTGCATGGGCGATTATCTTTCAGCTGCAACAAGTTATTTAACCCCAACTGGTGCAATGAGTTGCTTCTCATTTCTTAAACAACCATGTGGAAAGACACATGGCGTGGTCATGGAAAAGATGTCAGTCTGTTTGAGAAGGGTCAAATCATTGGCATCAAGCAGAGAAAACATTTAAGGAGATTGCAGAAACTACTAAAATTGGGTTAAGAACTGTCCAACACATTATTAAAAACTGGAAGGATAGCGAGGACCCATAGTTTTAGAGGAAGAAATGTGGTCGGAAAAAAATGCTGCCTACTGTACAAGCCTGTGGGGGCAGTGCTATGATCTGGGGTTGCTGCAGTTGGTCAGATCTAGATTCAGCAACAGTATGTGTTCAAAGGATGAGGTCAGCTGACTACCTGAATATACTGAGTGACCAGGTTATTCCATCAATGGATTTTTTCTTCCCTGATGGCACGGGCATATTCCAAGATGACAATGCAGGATTCATCGGACTCGAATTGTGAAAGAGTGGTTCTGGGAGCATGAGACATCATTTTCACACATGGATTGGTTATCACAGAGTCCAGACCTTAACCCCATTGAGAATCATTGGGATGAGTTGGAGAAGGCTTTGCACAGTGGTCAGAACCTGCCATCATCAATGAAGATCTTGGTGAAAAATTAATGCAACACTGGATGAAAATGGATCTTGTGACATTTCAGAAGCTTATCGAAACAATGCTACAGTGAATGCATGCTCTAATTAAAGCTAAAGGCGGTCCAACCAAACATTAGGTGTGACCTTTTTTTTTTGGGGGTGGGGACTTTTTTTTTTTTGGCCAGGCAGTAGAGTTGCACTTTGGTCCAAGTAATCCGAACTGACCCGGCCCCAGCCCACAGCCATCATCTCCGAACCCCACCGAGCCAACAAATTAACAGTAGTTACAGGTCCGAAACTGCCCCCCCCCCCCCCCCATCATTTTTAATTACGCTTTGACTGCTTATACCATTAACTATTATACCATACCATGCCACTTTATTTATAAAGCACTTAAAACAGCAACAAGGCCAACCAAAGTGCTGTACAGACAAAACAACAGGTAACACACAAAGCAAAATACAAAATGAGGTAAATCAGAATATAGACAAAAAACGATGCAGATAATGACGACAAACCAGTGTGGAGCATACAGGATCAAAACACAGATCATCTTGTGTTGAAAGCTACTGAATAGTAGTGAGTTTTTAAACGGGACTTGAAAACCGAGAGGGAGGGGGCCTGTCTGACAAGCAGAGGTAACTCGTTCCAGAGTCTTGGTCCCGGTACAGAGAAGGCCCTGTCACCTCTGCACTTAAGACGAGTTCCTGGAACTGTGAGGAGCAACTGGTCCGCTGACCTCAGGGAGCGTGGTGGGACATACGGTTGTAGCA